TAATCCTACAAACCAGCCTCAACAAGAGAAATATAAATAGAACACTTCTAGTGAATCAGTTAATTTGACTTCTCTGCATCTCTATATTAACTGATCTTTGGCACAGCCTTTTTTTTTTATTGGGAAGGGAGGAGCGAAAAGTTAAGGAGGTAAATACTACATAGCAAAGTTAATACTATAAAGAGCAAGCAACAGTTGAAAATGCACTAAAGATTTTTATTGTAGCAACTTAACTAAGATTAAATTAAGAATCAAATGTATAATGTTTCCTTGACAAAATATCTTCTCAAAAGAATGAAGAAATTCTAAGCTTTTGGAATTTCTTGACATAATCACATATTGATATATCAATGAAATCATCTATCAATATGAAATAACAGGTCTGGTTCCTATCCCAGATCACATCTTACTGGTCCTCAATGTATCTGTTCATGCTTTTTACTGCCCCCTCCCAAGAAACAATCATTAAAACGGAAATGCTGCTGAAAGATAAAAAGCACTTAACTTGTTTCCAATCTTCCCAATGAATTAATAAATGAATGAAAAAGCATTGATTACGTGCAGGCACACTGGGAACACAAATGAAAAAAGCAGATCATTTGTCTGAAAATACTTCAGCATAGCCATATCAATCCACCACCTGAAAAATTGCATGTTTAAAGTTAGACATTATCTCGGATTCTCTGGTTTCCTTAAAGACAGTTAGACAGCTACCTCCCCAGGAGGCCTTTACTGGTGGTCAATCTCCCCTCCCCCAAACCCCAGCTGCCAGGGACATCCCAACTAAGGTCAGCTTCCATCCACCCTGTATTTCATCTTTGTGTTCTGATTTATATATGTTGCATCTCCCATTAGAATGAAAACTCCATGAGGGGAGGGAATGTTTCTGCTTTTTCACTAGATCTCTAGTGTTTAGCAGTTTAAGTCCTTAATGAATGTTTATTGGTTAGCTGACATCTACAGCTGAAATAACTAGGCAGACATCATCTCCTGCTACGTGTCAATTTGAAATTTGGTGTGACACAGTGTCAATTTGAAATTTGGCGTGACACAGAAAACTCCCTTTCACAGAGGGCACTCCATGTGGACTGACTCTTTATTGCCTTCTGCATCCATCCCTCACTGTCTCTATCTGCTCAACTGGCTAACTGCTAAAGCAACCTCCGTCAAAGACAAAAAGAAGAGAAAGCTCAGTGGGGGAGGAAGTGACACACGTAGGGAGCTCAGTAAATGCCAGAATGAGTTATTAATGGCAACCTGACAAGCCTTCCCATCCCCCATCCCAAGATATGTATACCATACTATCCATATATCCATCTGTTTCAGAAAAAAAAAATGTTCATTTCCATTTCTCCAACATCTGCTACCAAGGGCTCTTCAATCAATCACTGATGGGTCTTGAGGAACAGGACCAGGAAAAGCATCTATTTAAAGCATGCTCCTGCCCCCTTGCATCATTCCAAATTCTGGATGCAGAAATTCACAATTCACTCTACTCTGCTCCCAGGCTAAGAAAGCTGGCAAAAAATAGTGACCAGGTAGTAAGTAAAATAATAATTAGCAGTGGATCTATTAGCTCTTTGTAGCATACAGAGGACTGCACTGGCATCAGGAACAGCTGGGGCTCAAGTGCTGTTTCTGGCACATGCCAGCTACACCATCATAGGCAAGTCACTTAGCCTGGAGATGTCCCAGGCAGCTCTCTAAAACTTTAGATGACAGACAAGTTGCCTGATGGGAGTTCCCACACCAGGTGTCCCCTACACTGATGAAATCACAGGTTAAAAGGGACAGAGAACAAGAACCAATTTGTGGTTGGTTTACTCAAAGGAAGTCCCCCCAACATCAGCCTCACTCTCTCCCATGAGAGTCCAAAGTGAGGCAGATAACTGAATTACTATGCATGTGTGCACACAATGCACATGCACAAACATAAGTCAGTCCTTTACAGCTCAAAGACATCTAGCTGCCACCACTCCCCAGGAAACAAAATGAGTCACAAGCAATTTAATACACAGGTTTAAAAAGTTGTACCTCTCCCAGCCCCCACCATTTTATCAGCTCACCAATGTTTAACCAGCTCCAACCACCTTTGCCAAAGTGTCACATTCTTATTTCTGCAAGGCACACTAGTGTTCATCCACAGTCAGATTCAAGAAAAAGTAACAAAAAGAAAGGAGCTACAGAAGATTTTATATATATATATATATATATATATATATATATATATATATATATATATATATATATATATCTTTAAGTAGCATAGAAAAGAAAACTTGAAATATAGAAAAAGTAAAGAACAAGACTCAAAAGGGTAGCTGGAAATAGAAACAAAGCTATTTATCCTATCTCCAGGTTTGTTTTAGGATATGATAATATGAATTAGGACTAATTTATATGGTCGGGCATAGGAACATGAATACTGGGAGTATATCTGGGGTGAGGGGGAAAAAAATTCACAATTTTATGCTTGAAGACATCAATATCAATTGTAAATATGAATTTTTACACAATGCTTACAGTTAAATAAAAGTAAATTACAGTATTAAGTCAAGTTTTAACCAATGAATTTCTTAAAGTTTTAAAGCAGTATTTTAAACTAAATTTTCAAAACCTTACACCTAAATTGCATTTTCTACACCCTCCTTTTATACTAGCAATTTATCCATTTAAATAAATGAGTTCAACTTCCCAGTTTAGAAAACTGATAAAAATTAGTGAGTTAAACTGCTTAGTTTATAACTTAACATCAGTACTGATATTGCAGTTTGATATGATAATATATGTCATGAACTCAAATGAGGTACCTCAAAATTAAACTACAAACCTGTTTCATTGTCCAAGTAATCAATTATTTAATTTTCACCAGAAATGCTAAAACATTTAAATTTTTAAATGTTTAGTTTCACAATTCTCTAAACTTTTTAGTTTTAAAATTTCCTATACGACACAAAAACTATACGGCCATAATTTTAACATGGCTCTAATCCATATGGATGGCCCTATTTATAAGGCTGCAACACACAGTCCACAAATACATGACCCTGGCCCTGAAAGCTCTGTTTTCATACCTGCACTTGTGTTAGACACTCCAATAAGGTCCATTCCAACAGCTGATAACTCGCACCCTACAAACTGATATAATCATGTTCCTTGATTATGTTGTCAAGATTTAAAACAAAACAAAACAAAACAGGTCCAGAATCCAAATCTTTACAGATAAGATGGGAAGTTACTCCCATGCTACATGTGCGTACGTGTGTCAACATCAGGCTGGCTTCATTAACATCAAAATCCAAAGAACTGCAGGGAGCTTTTTAAGGGCATTTCCCCTCGGTCCTATCAAAATATAATTTTTTCACTTACTAATCATTACTGAACAACTCAGAGACAACCTACTAACAGTAATTTGTAAAACCAAAGGATATCAACCTGCCTTTCAAGAAGCTCACTGTCTAGAAGCTAAGGACATTTGTCAAGTTATCTACCAAATGCTCTGGAAAAACCTAAGTACCAGCTTTATTAACTTTCGATTTTAACATGAAACTACAAAGAGATCACTTTACAGTATAAGCCAATTTAAAATGTTTATCTTATTTGCACAAAAATTATATTCATATATAATTTTTTATCCTAGGGTAAAATATCCTTAATGATAACACATCAACTGATAAAAACGGAACCACACAATAGTCCAAATACCTCAGGAATTCAAAAACTTACAGATTAATTCTTGTGTGAATAACTACATCTTTTAGTAAAAACAGGAACAGAAATGGGGAGCTAGCAAGTGAGTATACTCATACATAAACTTTCCTGCAATTCCACAAGAGCTTGACACTTTTTAAATAGCTCAGTCTGGGCAAAAGCAACTTGAATATAGAAGTAAACCAACAAGGTGATTTACCCCAACAAAAAGTGAGCTCTACCTGCATTTCATTCAAGGTAGTGGCATTACTTCTATATTTAAATGAGAAAATGTCAGCACCAAGCTTGGCCTTTCTCACTTTCCTTTCACAGATCCACCCCTGATTTAACAAACACTGTATTAAATACCACACTAAGTGCAAAGTAATGAGGACAACAGTAAAATACCGAACAGTCTCTGCACTCAAGCAGCTCACTTTCTCCCGGGGACACATCAGGGACACTCAAGGAAGCACAGAACACTCCAGATAAACCAAGCACGAAGACAGTACTGACCCAAATTGAGGTGGAGGGGCCACCAGAGGCCACCTAGACCAGGATCTCTATGACATCCCTGACAAGCGGTCATCCAGACCACCTCTTTTACTGTTCACTGGTGGCTGTGAAATGAAATTATAGAGACTGTCCTGCACAATTACTCAATGGGCCCAACAGTTCATTGTTCAAACCAGAGCCTTTAAATAAGAAAGAAAAGAGAAAAAAGGAGTGCTTCCTGCCATAAAGATCACAGAGAAAGCCCTCGGCTCCGCTAACAGGAAGCCTGCCAGAGGCCCCAGGGTGGGGTGGGACAGGGGGCGGTAAAATGGGGGAGAAGACCCCCATTTAGAAGGCCACTCACCCAGACCCCCAGCTCTAGACCTATCACCCCATGATCTCCCCGGCAGCTCGCCTGGGCGTCTGCGTCCCTGCCGGCCAGTGCCTGGGTCTGCCTCCGTGTCCCTGTCACTATGTGTCAGTGTCTCCGTGCCCCTGTCACTGTGTGCGGCCCCGCTGCCCCGCCTGCAGTGCGAGCGCGTCTCTCGTGTCTGTCTCCGGTCTGGTCCGTCTCTCCCGGCCGGCCCTGGAGGTCCGCCTCTCGCCATCCCAGGCCCAACAAAGCCTCCCCCACCCCGAACTCCGGGGTCCGCCCCTGACCTCCCCCGTCGGCGCCCAGGCCACAGGCCTCCGGCGGGGCCGGGCCGGGCCGAGCGGCGGGGCCCGGGTCTAGGCCGGCTTCTCGGCAGAGAGGGTCGTGGCCGCCCAGTCACGGCGGGAGCCGAGGAAGGCGGCTGGGCCGGGCGGTCACTCACCGGGCTAAGGCCAGGCGGGGCCGGGCCGGGCCGGGCGGCTCCTTCGTGGCGGCCTCGCCGGGCTCTTCGGGCTGCTCGGGCTCGTTCTTTTCCTCCTCCTCCTCGTCCCCGCCGCCGTCCCCGGCCCCGTCCGCGGCCCCGGCTCCGGCTCCGGCTCCGGCCTGGGCGAAGCGCTGCGGCGGCGGCGGCGGCGGCGGCCCGTCCGGTGCCCGCGGCGCGGCTCGGGACCCCTCCGTCGTCGGCCTCCCGCGGGCTCGCGGGCTCGGGCTCGGGCTCGGCTCGGGAGGCCCTGGGGCTCCGGCTCGCGGGCTCGGGCTCGGGCGGCGCTGAGGGGCCTCGGGCTCGGGCTCCGATTGGGGGTTCGACTCCGGCCCCGGCTCCGTCTCTCAGGCCTCGCCGCTCCCCGCGCCCCGCCCCCAGCCCGGCCCGGCGCACGCTCTGCGCAGCCGCAGTGCGCAGCCGCCCTACGCCGAGACGTCCGCTCGCAGTGGCGCGCGCCCTGCCGAGGGGCGTGGGAGCCCCGGGAGCCTCGGGCGCCCCCACAGGCTTGGAGGACCCACCGAGCCCGAGCTCGATCGGGGGTGGGGGGGGAAAGTGGAGAGAGCACGAGCGAAGGAGCGAGGGAGAGCGCGTGCGCGGAGTGCTCTCCCAGCGCTTCTCTAAGCCGGGGCAAAGGCTATCTGTGATCCACGAGTCCACGAGTATTTAACTAAGCAACTTCTGTGTGCACGGGTGAAAAAGCGAAACAGCCCCTCGCCTCAAGCAGCTTACATTCTATTGGCTCAGCATTAAGCCCTTCTGTTTTCCAGGCTCTGTTCTCGGAGCTGATGAGGCACAAACCAAAGTAAAACAGCCCCTGCCTTCAAGCTGCTTACATTTTATTGGTTAATTGTGCAGCCCTTTACCGGGCAGCCAGGTGGCACAGCGGGAGAGAACGCCCTGCCTGGAGCCAGGAAGGCTGCTCTTAACGAGTTCAAATCTAGCTGGGTGACCCTGGGCACTTCACCCCGTCTGCCTCAGCTTCCTCGTCTGTCAAGTGAGCTGTAGAAGGAAATGGCAAACCACTCCAGTATCTTTGCCAAGAAACCTCCCAAAGGAGTGCCCGAAATAAAGCCCTTCTTCAGGCTCTAGACTAGGAGCTCCGCGACAAAGAGCAAACAGTCCCTCACCTTGAGAAGTCTAAGTGTGACCGTCAATAAGCAGAGCTTCCGTTATGCTGGATTGAGATCCAGCTTTGCATGCCACCCTTAGGAGAGGGTGATCCTGAGATAACTCAGCCTCATCACCAGAATGAGGGGGCTAAGGTCCCTTTAGGGCTAAATCTGATTCTGCAAGGCACAGCCTTCCCAGAATGCCCGACAATGGACTTGAAAAGAAACTCTGGGAGGAAGCCAGAAGATATGGGAGGCAGAGTTTGAGTGCAGAACTGCCTCTTCCGCTTTTTGAAAGATCGTGGGAAGGAGATGATGTTAATTCCTAGCTCTTTCATTCAGGGATGCCGTGAGAGCGATCATTTACTGTTGTTCAGTATTTTCAGTTGTGTCCAACTCTGCGTGACCCCATTTTGGGGTTTTCTTGGCAGAGATACTGGAGTGGTTTGCCATTTCCTTTTCTAGTTCATTTGATAGATGAGGAAACTGAGGCAAACAGGGTGAAGTGATTTACCCAGGGCCACACAGCTCCTGGTGAGTTCTACTGACCTACCAAGATGGCTGCTGTCCTGATAAACCAATCTACCAGAAGATTCCCCTCTCAGAGACACTTGACTTCTATCCCTCAGTTCTTCAAATCTTGCAAGCTATGAAGGAAGCCAAGCAGGGAGAGGGGATACCCTGGTCTCAGTCAACGTCTTGGGTCCAGTCTCCTCCCGCCCTCATTCATACAAATTACCTAGGCCAGAGGAGAACCATTGAACTCCAAAGGGTCCAGAAGATTTTGTATTTCTTATCGGCATCCTAGGAGCCTCATCGCCAGAGCAACTGAGGGCATTGTCTCCATCAGGAATATGGAGCAAAGGCAGATTCAACACTCTACTAAATCTGAATGCAGATGGAAGCATACTTTTTATACTTTATTATTCTTGGGGGGTTTTTTGTCTGCCTCTTCTTTTGCAAAGTGGCTAATATGGAAATGGTTTGCATGACTGAACATGTAGAATGTGCATCAGATTGCTTGCCTTCCCATGGAGGGGGGTAGGGGAGAGGAAGGATGGAGGGAGGGAAAGAATACTCAAAGTTTAAAAAAAGAATGTCAAAATTTTTTGTTTACTGCTAATTGAGATTTTAAAAAATAAAAATTAAATATAAAAAAGACTTGACTGGCAGCTCCTCAGAAAAGCTCTACCATACCTGAGGGAAACATCCTGAGGACTCTAGCAAAAGGACTTCCAGAAGCTACGCATTACCCCTTTGCAATCTGTGCACTCTAAGCTTGAACCCACCTTGCCCTGGACTCTATATATAGTAGTGAGAGAGTATGTCACAGACTTTTGGGGAGGAGAAGAGAATGTTTTCTACTCATTTGTTCTTCCTGTACCGCCTTAGTAAATACCTCTTTCTAAACACTAATTAAGCCTAGATGGACAATTAATATCAACTGAGGTTCTTGAGGGAAAGGATACTAGTGGGGAGGTCATAAGCTATAGTGCTAGAAAAGACCCTTCATAACCCCTCAGGCTGCCCCTAGAGCCCCAAGGAAGCTAGGGCAGCTGTGCCATTACGGACGGGGCCCAGGCCACCAGTGGGAGTGGGGGCTGGGAGAGCAAGTCAAGCACATCTTATATATACATAGATGAGTGTGTGTGTGTGTGTGTGTGTGTGTGTGTGTGTGTGTGTGCATTCTTCTGCCTCTGGCAAATGAGTTTTTGGTACACACAGGACACTTCAGCCACCACATTGGCAATGTGTCCAAAATGCTTCATGTTTACGGATGACTAAATGCAAACAATTTTGGAAGCAGGCCTGTGAGTTTACTGGTGATTTTATTCTACCCAGACAAATCAGCACCTATTCTGGAACTTCGAGTTTCAGAGAGTTTCCTGACCTCCTGGCCACTACTCCATGCAAATTCAAATGCAAAACATCTACAAAGGGTATACAGGGTGTATGGCATTTTAAGACTTTCAAAGCATTTTCCTCACCGTTTCCTTCAGCATTTTCCCTGTGAGATGGGAGTTTGAGGTATGTTCGTCCTGCTTTACAGATAAAGCAGCCTAACTTGGTTCAGAGGGCACTAGACTTGGAGCTTGGAAGGCCTGTCTTCAAGTCTTGCCTATGCTCCTTAAGAGCTATGTGACCATGGAAAGCATGGTCACAATTTGCTCATCTGTAATATGGGGCTAATGCCTTCAGCCCTTCTCCCACAGGGTTGTTATAAGACTAAAGCTAGATAATGAATGTAGAATGTTTGTGAACTTTAAAGCGCTGTAGAGGATCCAACATTTAGAGCCGAGAGGGATCTCAGGGACCATCCTGCCCCATCCCCTCCTTTTACAAATGAAAAAATGAAGCCCAGAAAGAGTATTACTTACTCAAATCCACACACGTTGGAAAGTCAAATCCAGAACCCAAACCAAGGCCCCCCTAACTCCAAATCTTCGGAGTTTGATTTCAGCTGTTGAAGTTTGTGGAGCCCAGGCTAAAGAACAAATGGTGAAGGAAACCGTTCTCTCCTCAAGCGTAGGTAGAGACACAGAGATTGCAGGAGGCACCAAGAAAGCCTAGGTTTGCCCTCCTGATCCCTGATTCATAGAAAAGACAAGGTCTACAAGCCTACGGAATGAATGAAACTGTCGGGAAAACCTGAAAAGGAATGAGGAAAAAACAAAACCATATGGCTGGCTTAAGGACCTTCGTCAATGAGCTCCAGTGTCCATTGGAGATAGACAGACTTGGAGACGTGCTGCATAAGGAGTGTAAGCCCAGAAAGCCCACATAGCTGGGTCCACTCAACCACTTACAGGCCAAAACTAGGTGTGATTAAGGCTCTAATCAGTGTGAGAGGATATGGGAGCTTCTGGTCTGATTGGATGATTGGAGGACTGAAGTAATACCTCTAGCCCAATGTATAACAGGGCAAGCCAGGGCAGAATGGTGTGTCCCAGCTGCAGGGATGATGGAATTCGGTAGGGAAAGCCTTGAAAGGGAATTGCCCTGGTCAGCAGGTAGGAAGAGCAAGCTTCCCTTCTTACCCCAAGCCCTCGTTCAGTGACTAGGTGATGACCCAAGACCTGGCCTCCCCATTTGCATGAGTATGGGTGTCTCCAGAGCCTCAGCAGGTAATAGCAGTGTCTGTGTCAGGAGCTAAAAGGCATACTGAAGTCAATCTTGATCCACCCAGAAAAGGCCAGCAGTTTCCTAAGACCTCCGACCTTGGAGCCCAGTGGAAAGCTGCACCTAAAAGGAACTTCAGAAGGACTCCCCAAAGAGAGAAAAGGGCTGCCAGTGGCTCGGAGCGGTGCCTTCTCTATATGTGCCCATATGTGTAAGTGTGAGCCCACTCTGCCACTTACCAAACATGTGCAAGGCACAGTATTCTCCCAGGTTGGGAGGATGTTTCTCTAACAACTCTCCAGGCCAGGCCTGTCCAGTTGTTGTTTGTACTTCACTGGGGAGAGCACCAATGACATCACAAGGCAATGCCTTGACTTATGAGTGAATTAGATTTAAGCGAGGCAGAGCTGTGAAAAGCCCCCAGACTCACTCTCTCTTCTCCAGAGTCATCAAAGGCCAGCCCCAAAACAAAACTCAGGACAACTGTCGATGGCCTGCGGTGCAGGCTTGGTGCCTGCCAGCTTGGTGAATATCCTCCCTAAAAGCGATCATCCATAAGGAACATTATTAGCACACAGCTTAGGCTGTCTTCTCTTGTATTTGTATCTCCAGGATGGAAGAGCAGGCTTGTTCTCTGGTCAACAGTCAAAGGCAGCCCAGAGCACCTTGGACAGCCTGCTGGTGAGGTCGCCAGCTGGGCGTGACCCACGGTCTTAGCTGGCTTAGAGAAGCGACCCTATGGGAGGAGTCATGGCGGCCCACAGCTTCTGCAGCCCAGGTAACCCGGCTGACTTCTGACTCATTATAACTTTCCACTTCCTCATTTGTGACATGGGGATAATAATAGCACCCAAGTCACAGGGTAATTGTGAGGCTGAAATGAGACAATATGTGCA